TGTTTCTCGTGTTTATCCATTCGAAGAGGAACAAATGAGGTATGCACGTGTGGTTCCTTTTTTCTAGCATGCTATTGGATCCTGTACGTTTCTTTTTGCCCAACTCGGTAGTCACACTACTAGTTTACCTTCATCATACATAATCCTATAGATGTGACCGTGTGACTTGTCTCAAGAGTACGTTCCCGCAATTTTCGGAACTACGATATTGTATTATAGGATACCCCAGCAGTGAAAAGCTCGAATGATCCGGCGAGGACAACAGGAAATGTTTCTCGAATTCCTTTTACCATCTGGGACCTGAAAAAAACTACGTCTACAAAAAAAGTAGAACATCGGACAACAGTGTAGTTTGTTTCGTGCAGACGCCAAGCTGAGCAACCAGTTTGTGTATACTCATGCGAAGAATTGGAATACCACAGGATAGCGTTTCCTGGCTGATCACTATGTGTTGTTTGTCTGTACAGCTGATGTATCCCCGCGAACGACGATCATTGCTTTTTTTCACGATCATACAACTTTCATTCAGCAAATTATTTCCACTCTGGAGTAAGGGGACGAGAATACCGGGAAGCCAGGAAATAAAATACACTTTTCGGAAACATTAATCAAACAGCTCTTAGCAGAAAGTCCATCTTCCTGGTTGATGGGTGCGTAATCTCTTCAATCCCGCTGAGATTCTGAACCCGCCCCACCCATGCTGCTGTTCTGAGTGGCACCGTCATTCTGGAGGCATCCAGCTTGCAATCAAACTATTAAAAAAAATCATTCCAACCATTAGCACCGCTTTGTCGCGGAAGCAGACTAAGCAACGAAATAACTCTTCGAGTTTCCAGTTGAAATCCGTTTCAAAGGACCAATGAACTGATTTTGGCTGAGGCTGGTAGCTCCGGAAGTGGATGACCGTATGTGTACATTTACACATCCACATATAGTACACTTACTGCAGCCTAATTCTTAGAATTACTTTGACAATTCCCCTGTCAGTCGCCATGACAATCATCCGGTGGCATTCTTGAGGAGTTACTGTACACAGTCTATCTCTGTATCTCGTGCCTGATCAGGAACTAAGAGCTTCGTTAGGACTTTCTAGTTTCTAGCTCACAAACTACCTTAGCCTAGATGGAACTATTTGGATGAGTGTAACTATTAGAAGCAAGGTTCTGATATCTCTGGGACCATACTATTAAGCCTGAATTCCCGGTGGTAAAAAGCAGTTCAACTGTAACAAACACCCTTTCGATGCGTAGCTGCCATGTCACCAGAGGAAGCGCGAGAGCTGAAGTACTGTCAGGTTGCACAAGCCTAGACAGGTGAAGTCGGAAGGCAGAGGTTGGGTTCGAACGACGGATCTTCCGGTCAATAAATTCGCGTTCTACCCACTGAGGCATCCCTGGTGGTAGTGGCGTGTAATACAGCCGCTCGATCGGGACTGGCTTGTAGTCTTGCCCATAAAGCACTAGTAGGATAAGTGCAACTTGAGGAATTTTTTTGTGAAAAGTACACTCTGAGCCACTGTAAACAGCAAATACAGAGGAAGCCCTCGTTGGAAAATTACGTTGATCATATCAATCGGCAACTGAAATTCCATAATCACTGGGGTGGCATCACACACACACAGCGATCGCATTCGGCAGAGGTCTTGACGAAACTACCGACAAATGGTGAGGCAGTTGCCTGACTTTAGTTTTCGGGAAGGAATTCTTTCGCGCTGCGAACAAGCAATATCCTTTTTTGTAAGAACGCAGTACTCTGAGACGTGTTAAGGTCTTCGACTTGACCTCTGCTCCATGCACTTAGTGATAATACCTCTGAGGGAAATGGACGTCTATCAGCACAGTTGAGTGAAGTAGGGAAAACTGTCCTTAAAGTGTGCACAAAATTGAGTGATGCCTGTGTGATCCTCTCATCTTTCAATGTTCCAAACAGCTAACTTAGTCCTTTTCGTTTGCTATTTTTTCCAGTCTGCAGCTGAAGTACACTGATCGCAAAAACTCTTGAGACCTGTGGATGGATTTCAGCACTGTAGTGGAAGACCTCCAAAACAGCTCACTCTCCTGCCCGGGGGAGCTGGATTTGTGGTTGATCCTCAGTCACAACACCGCTTCGCATGAGCCATTGCTATCCGAGTTGATCCGTCGCTCGCTGAATCCTCCCAGACTTCCGCTTCTTGGTTCAGCTGGCGATCCAGGGGCACCGGCCAACACTTCACCGATGCACAAGTGTATTTTATTTTGCATGCACAAATCACCCCGATTTTATCAACAGCTTTTGAGTTCTACCATCCTTGGTCGTGATCAGTACTGTTCACTGAGCATGGTCGACGTTGGTGATGTCGTCCGACAGTCACTGGCAGAGGAGTGCAAAGAAGTCCCCGACTTCCTGTCACGGGAATTTTCTTCGCATTTGTGGCGGTACATCTCAGATAAGGTTAGCAGAGCCTCGTTCCGTTTGTTGTTGCGGTTGATTCAAACTATTGAGCGGCTAACTGAGGTGACGCCTTCTTTATAAGGGCAACCTCCCTACCTAGGGTCTTTCTTCAAGATACCTCATTTCGTGATGTACATCTATGGAGGCTTCCTACTTACACAGATCGGCCTGAGGTCGTTTATAAGACAAGTATTTCAGCCTTATCAGATAGATATTAGTGACTGGCTCCACAAAATTCCTCCTGACTGCTTCTGGGCCCAACCAGTAACGGGCAATTCACAGGTTGTATGTGCATTAGCTAGTCTTCGGCTCTGCCCCAAGTTAGAGGTTTCGCCATATGAATGGTTGGCCGGTCAATAGTGGTTAAAACATTATACACCTGCCCATAGTAACCAGCCACAGACAGCTTGCCTTGAGCCAAATATGGTGCTGTGCGCAAGTCCTTTGTCTGATTTAAACTTAAGGAAGTAACATAGGTGGGTGAACGTGCATAAACCTGTCGCAATCTATCAGCCGACGTAAACGTTATGGAACAACAATGAGCATCATCAGGATTTACCTGTTTGTCATCGAAGTACCAGGTGTCATCCGTCAATTCACTCAAGTCCCAGCGTAATACCTCACCTGCCTCCAGTATAGCACCGGGAGCCTACTGCCACGAAATCCCCTGTCAGTTCACAGAGGATTGTATACAATTTGGTCTAACAGTGTTCTTCCCGGACATGGGTTCGTCGATAACCTACCAGACTCTTGTCGGAAAGCTAGATGATTGTCATCCTGGACACTACGTCGGGCGGTAAATACTGGAGCTTAAGGAAGCGTCCTAGTAGGGGACGGGGAGAACAAGGTCCAAGAAGGCATCAAGTACGTAGGGGAAAACCTGCCTATACCTGATGAAAGCATTGAAATGAGCACTACTGTACGAAAAAGTCGAAGAAAGGATCAGTTATTTTAAACATTGTGCGTGTTTTAAATTGGCACATTCGTTATTTAAATGGTTCGAACATGACGAATTATCGCTGTCATTCCAGAGCAATGAATTTGCCGAAACTGTGAAGCAAAGTCCCACATGCGTGGCGACATTAATTGTGGATAATTTGACATGCCTATTCGACTTGGGCCTAAATGCGCGACAGATTGATCGTCTTCTGGTTCAATGGTCTCGTAGTCAACTTCGTCTTCTGATCGGATGCCACGTTGGACAGGATTTTCAGGACGACAGTGTTCCCGAACATGATCACACATTGATGCACTGCCTTGAGACTTGGAAAAATCGGGCACCTGTGGTACTGGAGGTGCGACCTTTGGAAACTGGGTACACGATCTCTCTCGATGGCGAGGTGAGTGTTGGTTATGACAGAGCTCCGTTCAAATAGCTGTACGGTTACTCCCTGATCGATAGTCCGAGCCTCAGTGAGTGTCCGACAGCACCCAACTTAGCAAATCAGAACAATCTTATACACGGGTTGCTTTCTACGCAAACTTCGACAATCCCTTTTTCTCCCTTAACCAGCTGATGGTTCATGAGCCGTGGAAGAGCAAACACTTGGGACAACCGAGGTCGAGAAGAAATTATCACTACCGATACGAAGGGAGGCGCGTGTTATGCTACCCATTGGGAACATCGAAACTGGTCACATGATATGGAGCCACCAGCCGTATATTTTTCAAACTCCCTTGTATATATATTTTTCTGAAGTATTCGGAACTTTGCATCCTCAGAACCGATTGGAAGGGATCTCTTATCGAGCTTCGTAAGCGGGGTACCACACATCCTAATGATGGATACTTAATCGGCTGTACAAAAAATGTTGGCAAATACAAAGGTGTGTTCTATTCACTAACCGATAAAAGTTGGCCCATTTCCCATCGTTGGGATGTATCTTCCCTTACAATGTTGCTCCTGAATTCACCTGCTGTATCCCAGTTCCCAGGTGATCGTCATCGCGCCCATCTCTTTAGTTCCAGCTATTCACTGTCACAAGGAGCCCCTTATCATTTTTTTCGTCAGCCATCATCGCCGACAGCAATACTGGTACCCATATGTCATAAAACCATGGGGAAATAATACTATCGCATCGATTTGGAAGAAAGGAAAAGGGAGAGGTCTTTGTGAAAGAAGTCCCGCATTCCCAAAGAACGCGATGGAGAACAAAGGGACCAAATCTAGGCACGACGATGTAAGTATGTGGGATCGACCCAATTTCTTTTGCGAACCTCACCAAACGAGAACTCAGCACACAACAGAAAAAACAAAATTTATCTAGACTGTCTTCATTCTTTTGGACGCTAGAAACCGATGTCACGTTTGCAGATCGGCGTAACCGAAGGATAGGATCGCTAGGTAGCCGCTGAAACCGCTCGATGAGTGAACAGTTTTCTGGGTCCGAACCAATAGTGCAGCTGAAAATAGTTGGTACTACTTGAGACTAGAGAACCATTTATCCTTCACTGAGTGACTTGTTCAAGGTCATGTGTCACGCACTATATCAATACACTGCTATAAATGGCGAATCTTGTCGATTTGAAGCAGGGGCTCCACGAAAATCGCAGCGCGGTTTTCAGAGCTACCCGTCCGCTGCTTACGAAGACAGAATGCAGAATATATTTACAGCTTTAATGCAAAGCAATTTATGGAGCAGGAGGCTGTACATGGTGAAAAATGCCCTTCGGAAACGCCATCCCCCCCAGCGAGTACAGGTAGATCTATTTTAACTTTCTTCGTTGGTTGTCGGTTGTTGGGGCTTGGTCAATGTGATGTAAGCGTAACGCTTGGCGTTTTCTAACATTTGTGCGCTTAGAATAGACGATCGGAGCCTCGAATTCGCATCGACATCATTTGAACCGAGAATCGGACCGGCGGACGGTGCCGAAGAGTCTAGTCCCTCGCCGGTGCAGATGACAATGAGGAGGCTGTGTTCCGGAAGACCTCTATATAGATTGCTGCTCAGTTTGGTCAACTTTTTATTGCATTTCTGAAGTAAAAAACAACAACAGAAAACTGGCTTAGCTTGACATGAACTAGGGCAATTCTCAGAGAAGAGCTAACGGGAACCGTCGGTAGTGCACTTTAAGAACTCGAATGTGAAATAGTTAGACACCTACATGGATAAGGAATCTGGAGAGAACGTATTCGGGTAGACAGCCGCCTATGCCTGATGACAGCATTGAAGTAAGCACTACTGTACGAGCGTTTTAAATCAGCACATACGCTGTTAAAATGGTTCAAACACGGCGAATTATCACTTTCATTTCAGAGCAAGAAATTTGCCGAAACTGTGAAGCAAAGTTCCACAAGCGTGGCGACATCAATTGTGGAGAGAACGTTTTCGGTCCACCAACAACAACACAGCCCTTACTGTAGCCTGGTACACGCGGCCCTTAAGATCAAGTGAGATGCCTTTTTGACACCACGAGTGGCGCAAATTACCAAACGTGATTCGAGACTCTTACACTGACTTCATCATACATTTCCATCAAAGCTAACACAACTACCGATGTCTGTAAAACTTTACACACCACGAGGGGGCAAATTACCAAACGTGATTCGAGACTCTTACACTGACTTCATCATACATTTCCATCAAAGCTAACACAACTACCGATGTCTGTAAAACTTTACACAATCCCTAATGATTCTCCTTGAATTGTAAGGGATGTTCGCTGATTGCTCGTTCTGAAAAAAATCGTTCAGCTGTATCACGGGGGAAGTCGAGAGGCAAAGGCCGGGTTCGAACTCCGGACCTTCTGGTCAGTAAATCCGCACCCTAACCACTGAGCCATCCGGCATGTTCTGAAGCATAACTTTTCACTTTAAAGGCTCAAGGTGCATGCCAAGATGGTATGATGGCGGTCATTTCAAATGGCTTATGCTTCACTTTGGTCTTCAAAGATGGAAGCGATGTCGTCTGCGTACTCCAGATCGACAAGGCTCTTACGAGCAACAATTTGGACGCCGGGGTTTTGAAGACCGTCCAGTGTTCGCCTCCTTATTTCATCAATGACGAAGTTGAACAAGAATCACTCTGCTGCCTAAACATGAGAAATTTCGGTATTCTCGGACGTGCTTGCTTGAGACCAGGGAAAACTTTTTTCGTCTTAGAAAAAGGCTAAAGGCTAGGATTCAAGCTAACCTAGCCAGGACCACATATTGCTCATGCAGTCGAACTGATTCCGTCCGGTATGGGAAAGTTTTCAATTGACTTGAATTACCATTTTGATGACTTCATTTGAGGCGGAACTTGGGACCCTTCCGTCCTCACAATAGGAAATCCACGAAATTCCAAACCCATGGCTTCGTAATGATCGAATTCTCAGTGAGGATCACTGGTTATTCGGATAAGACAACCGCTGGTTCAGATAAAAACCCGATTGGAGTTCATAACTGCACGATAAAAATTTTTATTGTTTTGTGCCAGCTGCGGAACAGGCTTCATTTGGTGAAATACCTTTTGAATGAGATAAAACCGTTAAAGGCTGGATCGCATGAACTGCAAGTCAACACGTTTTCGTAATCCAAACTGCCACGTGGACATGAAGTATTTTGAATGCTCATCAAATACATCAAGGCACAGTATACAAGATCAAAGTCGACTAAGATTATCGGATTTTACAGGTGGGACCCGTCGCTTTATGGGCAACCTACTACCCACTCGCAAAAAACGCTTTCTGCCAACAGTTCTTGTTGATGGGCTGTTTCTGTCCTCATCCCGTTCCCCCCCCCCCCCCGTTAATTTGACACTGGAAGAAAGTGCAGATNCTGGAAGAAAGTGCTGACCCCCCCATTGAGGAGCAAATCAACATGAACGGCGGTATACAGGTGCCCCTTGTCTCCTATTTGCGAGCTCACATGGTATGGCAAGTGTCTATGGATATGGGAGGCCCTTATTTAGTTTCACTGAGTTACAAGTTTTGTCGCCAAACCCGTCCCGGAAAGAAAGACCTTTAGTAACTGTGTGAGATTATCACATTCCACGGCAACTGCTGTTTACGTTTCCGTGTCGCCGAAATGTAGATGTATATGGGATAAAAACCAAGCAGATGGATGGAGGCACTGAATGACAGAGACAACCCACTAGTTTCAGTAATCGGTCCGGCTAAAAGAGCAACTGACCTGGCGCCGTCATGGCAAAAAGGAGGATAGACTGAATCAAAGTTATGCCCGTCTGTATAGTCTGTTTCCGAATTTGCCTGTCACACGTCAATGGGTGAGCACGGCCACTGGCAGCAGGTGCTCACTTGTGTGTGCAACCCTCATGGGGGGGGGTTCAGATTTAGAGACACATTGGAACATTGGTTCTTCGTCCAATCGATCTGACACTTGAACCATTTGACACAGTCTTACTAATCCCGTGTTACATTTTATCCTCATCGTCCAAGTGTCGACCCAGAGGACAAGAAATCTTCCATCATCAAGGATCGTGAAAAAAACTAAGTAGGAGTGGTAAACATGGATGACGTGAGTACTGCAGCATACAGCTGAAAATTGGGGACGATTCACTGGCTATTAATCCTGTTTCTTCACATCACAGCCGTAGTAGTATGCAGTGCCTTTGTGCCTCGAACGGTGATCGTCGACCAGTGGAATCAACAGCAGACACAGATCAGTCCTTGAGGAGTTGGGGTAGGCTTTGATTACGTATCATCTCGGAAGAGAACGGTACCCTAGCATAGCCCCCCACTGGGTGGGGTGAGGCGGTTGATGCATTGAATTTTCTTCGAGAGACTGTAATAAAATCAGCAGTGCGTACAACACGTACGAATCCAAATGCTGCACTATAGCTGCAAATGTTCGAGATACTACCAGGGCGCCCACACCCAGACGGGGGACGATTAGGATTCTCAACCAAAGCCTTTGGCTCAAAAGCCTGACCGCAAGGCAGCAGTGGTGGGCCGGAAATGCAAGTACATTACCACTCTGTACGAAACACGTCACCACACGTTTCGCGAGCAACCAGCCCGTAATTGAACTTTTTCAGCACGAGGGAATAGCATGCTATTTTGTGTTTGATCGAATGGGAGTGCTGGTGGGTAGTTATCCTCAAATGTTAAGGATAAGTCGAATGAGTAAGCATACCGTTTGGTCGGGCCTAAACTATCGCATTTCCGATCTATGACTTCATAAGGATACAACGACAATCGAAACCGAGATGCTAACTGTTCCTATTGAGTTAACATAGGCCCTAAATATGATGAAGGGCAGCAAGATTTGAGCATGACTCAGCACACGTACTCCTCAGTCCCACAGAAGGATAACCGGACAGTAGTACCCCACAATGAGCCAGTTAGTTGCGTTGCAGACAGTTCGAAATCAGACCTCACATGCATGATGTTCTACGGTTATGAACATATCCATTCACAACCAGTTTGTTCTTTCAGATATTGAGCAGCATCTTCTTCAACAAAGATGCCATTTACAGTCAGTGTCTCCCATATTTCTTCCTGAAGTGGTCCCATGTCTGTTCAGTTGTAACAACCTTGTAGTACCTAGCTACCATGCCATATGAGGGACGTACAAGGGCTGAGACACCGCTAGGTTGCCCAAGTCTAGACATGACCAGTTGAGATACAGAGATTGGATGTGGACTACGGACATTCCGCTTCGTAATTTCACACCTTAACCACTGAGCTACCTCCACATGAACTCATAAAGAAAAGTAACAAACCTCCTCGTTCCACTCTGACGGACAATGGACTTTTGCCAGAATAAATCGGTTCGTACGGGCGCTTTCGGCTAGATGATTTGCCAACTTGGTTGACGGACGACTGAGGTGAGAATCCGTGACCTCGGGAAACGCAGATCTCCCATTGGATGTTGCACCCTGGGGATCATCGGATTCATGTGTTGGTGCGTAGGAGAACGGGATATTGGAGTCCTTGAGTAAGCGAGTGAGGAAGTGAACAGGTGGGCCGAGGAAGCGATAGCTTTGTCGCAGCTCGGTAACCTTCGAACGGAAGGCTGGGTGCACGTTGTCAACGCTTGGCCCAGTTGGGATAACATCGTCGGATGGCTTGTCTTCTGAGGGCTTTGTGTCATGGTCAACACGTTTCCGATTTGAAGGCTTATGGACAGAGAAACAGAGTTGAGGGACGTGTGATATCTTTAACAAACCAACTGAGAAACCCTGAAGGAGTGCACAATATAAAACGACTGGATTTATACTGGTGCCTAATGTGGATTAGCCTGAACTGTACCAAACATTCATCGCTGTACAAAGGTTAAAATATTACAAAGACTACTGAACACAGAAGTTCTAGGCACAAATGCCTGGCACCATGGCGTTAGACGCCTTTTCGAGGAACAAAGCGTAATGAGTAGTCAACCACAGATTAATACTCACAGTGTTGGATGCTGGTAAACAATTACATTATTTCGCATGGTTAATGACATTCCTGGTGGCAAACCTGTTCTCCATACGCCCATGTGGCTATACACTTGCAAGTGTCAGGCTACTTGTCTCTCCACAGTGCGACTAACTTTCCGAAATGATCAAACTCGCTTGAATTAGGGAGCACTATGACTCAGTAGGTTACGAATGTGCATAAGCCGCCGCAGCGTATAACGGATCAAGTGAATAGTTGCTCCAACGAACGATTAGAGCTCGGATTTTCATTGAGTAACCTTACCAACCAAGCCTACGTTTGTTTTATATCCTACGTTGGATCAACACAACCTGGCGGGCGCTTCTGAGGTGACGAGCAAGTACAATAGGCAAGAGTGTGGCATTACGTCAGAACACTTTGTTTAGCCAGTTACCTTTGACCGTATTGCCGACGGAAGCGCGTAATAGTGTTCGGGGAATCGCCATGAAGTTGTGACGTCTCCAAATGACAAATCTGTAGCAGAATGGGAAACCGGAGCGATGAATTATTTCGTCGAGGACGGACGGCAAAAGAACAAAACACTTGACTAAAAATCAGGGGAATAAGCCAACACAAGGCAACAGCACTCACCTTGACTCAGCTTTAACCGCACCAAGTCCATCGTGGCTATGGCATCTTCAGCCGACGAATGTCCAGATGTGCCGGTTTGGATCATCCGTCTGAGAACGGGGGCAAAAGTGAGAGAATTAGCAATGACTACTTCCTAACGGAATCCCAAGAAAATCCTGCTAGACCTTAGTAGACACCCACTTCCATAGAGGCCACTTAGGGTTAGTTGCCACGTAATATCTTTGCGTCACGACCTATTTTACGACGGCCAAGTAGATAGACGACCCTCTCCCACATTTCCACAATAGGTGCGGCGCCGACCTGCATTGTATTGTATGAAGCATGCCAGTGCTTTGTCACCTAGAATGTTCAGCATCGTACTCAGGCAGCCAGATATGCAACCTGGCTATTGCTGTACCATATGGACTTGTTGCGTGTTTGGATTGTGTCAAGGGGTGATTAGGAGGTGGGATCACAAACCACTACCCACTCTGAAGTAACTGGACGAACAAGTCATGATGCTTCTGGATGAGTACGAACGCACTGCCGTACCACCCACCGCACTGAGCCCAATCATCGGCATTAGCAGTTGTGTCATCTATGGAATCTGTAGGACGTGAGCGATTCGTTCTGATTACCGTTCATAGGATAACTCTGGGCACCGAGTAGATCCAAAAAAGGGCGAGCTGTGAGCAACAATTTAAACAGGGTGAAAGAATTAATTCTGGCCGAAAGGGTACAAACAGTCACAGCATAGTGCTGGAACATACGGACAGACAGACCTGCCGTAAGCTGACTGACAGGAGGCGTGTGCAACAAATCAGCGTGTATTTACCTTAATTCATTATTTACGGCATCGTGTGTTATAGCGACTTAGGTGGACTGCCATCGTTGAGATAATCCGTGATAACACCCCACAGTGACAGTGAAATAACTGGGCGAGAGGACGTTCAAACTAAACAAAGCGTAGAGGAACTCACCCGAGAAAGTGCTCGGCTAGGAACCGAAGACGGGCCTTCGAAGTTCGCGCACCTTTGAGATTGTAAATCACACTAGTATCGATCAAATAAGGATGGTAGATCTGAATCGGGGAAGGGGACAGTTAAAAAGTCAGACGCGGTGATTAAAGAATCTACCGGATAGTGGGTAAACAAAACCGGTTTCGATGGAGACCTTATCAAATTATCGCCCGAAAATTCCGGCATTTGGAGCTCTAATTTCCCCTTATTTTGCGCGCACCTCGTTTTTTCGCTTGGCTCAGCTCATGTGTAAAATAGGATAGTCAAATTATCGCTCGAAAATTCCGGCATTTGGAGCTCTAATTTCCCCTTATTTTGCGCGCACCTCGTTTTTTCGCTTGGCTCAGCTCATGTGTAAAATAGGATAGGAATCTGACTACTGTTCGTAACATTTCACTATGCTCGAGAAGAATCTGATGGCTCTTAAGTCGTGCGTTTTGCAATTTTACAAGTGACCGGATACACAAGGTGAAATTCTTCTTCCAAAAAATGCATCAAACAGACAGCAAAATACCTAGTCCAAAAATCATACGTGTTTAGAGTGAGAGGGTGCGCCCAAGGAGGGTGCGGCGGGAAGATATTCGCTACACATGTGCCGGCTTTTGAAAAGAAAAAAATGGAGGTTTGGGCGCTCGGGCAGCGGGTACGCGACTGGTCACTGAATTAAACTTATTGCATATAACACAAGCCTATGAAAAAGCATTCAATCGAACGATCGCTGGGAGGCTAGATGGCGCGCATCGACTCCCACTCTCGACCCGAAAAGCTTCTCTTGCCATCTGGTTATTGAAGAAAAACACTGGACAAAGTTTCATCACAGACAGATGTTCGCAGTCACTGCATTCCAAATTCAGACTGCAAGATTATATATGGCATAAATTTAAAACGGTATCCTTCAGCAGTCTACGCAAACCAAACTCCCATTTTGGTATGTGTTCGGAATATGCAAGATTTGGCGGGAAGGTGGAATTCACCACATGAGGACTAGAAAAGTTGGCAAAGGATTCAGGAAAACAACCGCAAGAGTACAACAAGCCCTAACCTTCATTGCCTGCAAATCATTTGCAATCGAGTGCCCAACGAGGATCGCATCCGGCGGTAACAATTCGTCCACCTCCCGTTGGATGTCCGCAACAGTCGTGGTCACCGGTGCTAACATATCCCGAGTTATGCCGCTGAACCTGTTGGAAACAAGTCAAAATAGCTCAGTGAACGACAACTGATTGACATGAGTAGATTCCAGCGTGCACATTCATTAAGGCTTGAGTAACATAGTTAATGCGGACACCTCAATATACGTCTATGGTGAATGAAGGGTAATCTAGATACACAAAGACACTCCGGAATTAAAGACGCGTTCCAACGAATAATCCAGACATTTTTGATACGCTAAAGCACATGGATCCGGGAATCTGTTGACATATTTTGCTTTGTATTCAGTCCTACTGGCACAGTGACGAGCGTATGAGAGCACCGCGCTTTGTGACAGTGTTGCAACATGCGGGTCTTAGAAATTAATCATTCATGGTTTGGGCGAATACGACAAGTAACTTGGATCAGCTGAACTAGGAGTGTACAGACATCCAGGGATTACCATGTACCTGGAGGAACCTCACCAACACTGGGAAGCAACTCTTCTGGATGATTCCCAGCGGCCATTTGCATATGACAGTGCACGAAGACAAGACCTAAAATGCGGGGGGGGGGACCTAAACTCTTGATAACACGGAATGTTGCCAGGTGACACATGAATCCACAGCGGATCACCGGCAATGATGAAATCTCTCGAATTGGATGCGCACATTGAAGGAATAGCAGGCAAAGATCGCAGCAGATTCGGCCAACTATCTCCCTTCAGGTGACAGTGGAAGTAAAGCAAAGTAGAGAGGTAGCGGGATGCAGTGACAACGGCTCTTCGAGGATTGTACAGTATGCAGTCACTCTTGAATGTTGCCCACGCAAAGACAGACGGAACAACGAAAGGTACCGAGTAGACTAGTTAGGTTCGCGACAAAAATCTAGGATACGCAGAAATCTACGTTGACGAAATCCGAAAGACCCTAGCGCTAGGAAGACAGTCTTCGAGAAAAGACATCCAGCTAGTCAGTCATCTAAAGGTTTGGGAATTTAGTAACCCAACGGGAGTCTAAATAAGTACCATTTACAATTAGAAGCTAAATTAATTACGGAGACTTTACCAAACTGCCCGATCCTACCCCACTATCTGCTCCGATACAAAAACCCAGAACAAATTGAGCAGAAAATAGGTTTACCATCAATACTACGCTCAATACTACTCACTATAAAGTTGTTCCAGGACCAGGCACGTTGATTGAAAAGGCGTTTGTTGGGCAGTGTATAAGTGTGGGCCTGCAAAAACGAGGTTCAAAAATGGGGCAGTTCTGCTGGCATTTTTGCGATAAACAACATGGAACAGGCCAGAACTAGTGAAAAACACGCGTGACTAACTAAACGACGGGTAGGAGAGTGCAAGATGGGATGTGGAACCACGGAATACTGATGGTTCGTTTGAACTCATTAGTTTTCGAATTATTCCCCAAGCCTGAGGACTGGTTTACAAACGGTTCTTCACCCTCGAGATGGCCCAAGTGGTTATAGCGCCAATTTACTGACCGGAGGGTCCGTGGTTCGAATCCAACCTCCGCCTCTCGACTTCCCCTGTCTAGGCTTGGGCGACCTGACAGTATCCCAGCCCTGGTGCTTCCTTCAGGTGGCATGGTAGCTAGGCACCGAAAAGGTGCTACAGATGAACGCTTTCTTTCTTTCTTTCCCCCTCGAAATGGATACCTTCGGCGTCATCCAAAGGCGTATCGACGATGTCCGAACGAACGGTGGCGGAACGATTGCAAACCAAGCGGCAAGCTTGGCGATCAGGCCAATAATTAAAGGTTCAAAGTGAACCTTATTATAGGTGGTACAGGACCACATTGGATGCCGCGATCGTGAGTGTTGCAGAATGTGAAGAACCATCGGGCGCAACTTATGGAAGTGGTTTGACTTGATCTGTCCACTATGGATTAAATTAGCTACTTGTCTCGGTAAGTAGTTTGATTCTCCTGACAAAAGCAGCAACCACCGCATGGAGTGGTGCTGTCACATAACACGTTCGAACGAAAACGCCGCAAAAACCGGAGAGCAATAGATGAGGAGCGAATTTTCGACATCAATATCTAGGTGGACAGATGGTGTAACTAGAAAAGTTAACTCGCACGGATGTTGTGCTCCTTCATCAGCGAATGAAAAAAAAACGCAAATCAAAAGCAAGATCTGCACGCTAACACCCGATATGAACGTACTTTGTCACATAGTCTTCAACAGGGTTCTCGGGTTTGACAAGGCGATCGAAAACGACGAAGTTCGACTCATCTACCATGGTAACCCGAGCCAACTCACTTCCCAACTTTGTCACAACCATTTCACAGTCGATGGCGAACATGGGGCTCGTAGATGAAACCGGCTGGTATGCAGTCTGTGGATAAAGAACATTCAAAGTCATGAAAACAATTCTGAAAACTGGATGTTTGAATGGTGCACGAAATTCAAAAGGGTTTGTGCAAACGGGATAGTGGCTCAGGCCCTTCCACTCAAAAAGCATCAGTTGATTTTGCAAACACTCATAACTTTGAGTTAACATGATGCATTTTGCAAATATCACATACGCACCTGAAGCAAGCTGAAGAATCGTTCAGCTGTAACACACTTTTGATGCCTAGCTGCCATGCTACCCAAAAAGGAGCACGAGGGCGGGGATTCTTCCAGGTTGTACAAGACTAGACAGTAGGTGTCGAGATGCAGAGTTCGGGTTCGAATCACGAACATTCCGGTCAGTATATTCGGGCTCCAATCACTGAACCATCTCGTTTGGAATTGTCCGAACAGATTTAACAGGTCGTTTGCTCGACCAACTACTACAGTTGCCCCCTCAATAGGCAAATTCACAACATATACTACTCCCTGGGGATGGAACAGGTTTACAATAGGATACATCTCACTTCCATAAAGCAACAAGCAATGCTTCATAAAAAGTACTTATCCTCCGCAATTGGTATTCAATGCTTAATTATTACTTCAGCAAGGTCCCACCTAGGCTTGGGCAACCTGAGGGTATCTTAGTTCTATTGCCTCTTTTGGGTGGCATTGCAACTGGGCACAGAAAGAGTTTTACGGTTATTTGCTTAGGCCAGAAAGGTACGAATTTTTGTCGGGATTACATGGGATGCTATCACTTTACATGCGCAAACGCTCAGTCAATACTGATATACGGAGTAAAGGGGATGAAGCAACTGAACAAGTCCGCTTTTTCTGCTATTCGCTACAGATGCGATCCGCGTGGCTATTGCAATGAAGGCGAGTCACTTTGATGATAAAATGTGCAGGACAGTTAGCTTAGCTTTCACTATGGTGATTGCATGCGTGGGTCGGTTGAGTGAGACGCAACCTTTTTAATTAAGGGGATGGAAAGGGCTAGCACCGGTTCACTAGTGTGACGTGTATATTCAAGAAACGTGCGAGTTGAATTTAAGCTTCGCTTCCGTTGGAGAGAAATGCATTCCTCACTTGGTGTCTATTACGCTTGCGTTCAAAATAACATGAGCGTTATTCCGTAATTGTGTTTCGGGTGTTGAAACACGTATTGCCCATATGGGTGCCTGTAAGGCGTGTTTGTATGAGGGCAGTTCAGCGACTACAGAACCGGTCAGCTGGATAAGTTGGAGAGGCCCTGGCACATCATTTCAGCCGACACAAAACGCATTCCTTCAGTAGCTTCGGTAAAACGTTCGTGAACTAGTAAACTTCTGGCGGCGAACAAACCACCCATTTGGGTGTTAATGGGTGCAAACAAGCGGTTCGATGGAAAGTGTTTCCCAACAAATTCAAGTAGCTTTCCTTCATGTGTGTGTGCGGGGGCTGTACACCATTCTACCTTCGCACCAAACTTGTCGGGTTCTTTTAATACTACTCACAAGGAGGGCGAGTTGGCTCAGTGGTTAAGGCGCGAATTTACTAGCCGGAAGGTCCGTTGTTCGAGCTCGTCTAGGCTTGGGAAACCTGGTAGTATCCCAGCCCTTCCGGTGGCATGGCAGCTACTAACAAGCAACCAGAATGCCAAGTCATCGTGGACCAAACTCCCGCCAGCAGATATCATGAGCTGGTATCTGGTTCCAGATTTGCCTACCAAGTCGAAGTAAGCCAGTTGATACAGGATGGGTCCGACCATGGACAGTTTGTACGGGACAGCAACTGACACCGGGTAGCACGATGTGAACCCAAGAGAATGAAATAGAATGATGGACCAATGGGGTTGGTACTGAAACCGTAATCACGACCGACTGATCACCTATAGGCACCAAATAGAGGAAACTGAGTAGTGGAAATCCGGTACATCCAAGATGGTTAGCTAGTGTTACCTAACAAGACGCCTGGTTACATAAACTTGCTTTCATCACTGTTATAGGTTTAACACTCTGAAGTATTGACGGAGGTCACTAACGGACCACAAGTTCAAATAAAGCCGAATCCAGCGCGTAACAGAATGTGGGCATACGTTATTGGTTGACCAGACCTAGGTCACATGCGCATGGCGTTATGGGGATAGCCATGTTTTGTTTCACTTCGACTGGTGCTATGACGGTCACTGAAAGTCACATCCAACACCGTCGCAGACATAGCGTTTTGTGGCACATCACTCACAAATCTACATGAAGACAAAGAAACGGTCAAACTCGATGGTGTCTGCCTCGGGCAAACGTATGACCTGCGTGTAGTGCACTGCACCCAATCATTGCTTTATTTGTTCAGATCTAGACGAATGAGTTCACGGACAGTCAGTTCTGCGACCGATTGAGATTTAACACTACATATACACAGACCTTGCTTGGAACATAGGCTGGGTTGGAAGCGCCACGCTTCGACTGTTCATCCAACTCTGCAGGAACCGGGATCCGTTCGTATAACATTTGCTCCAAATTCATCAACAATTTAGTTCGATCAAACGCATCGGGACTGCCTGTTGCGGGCATCGGAAACGGCCTCGTCATATCCAGCTTTCGTTTTGGGGCATTTCCTTTGGTGGTCACCTGAGGCACTGGCTCATCTGAAGAGCAAATGCGATCGGCCAGTCTTGTTAGACGATCAAGTTCTGCCGCAGCTTCTGTAACCGTGTGTTTGACCCATTCTCTTCTTGGGGCCGGAGAGGTGATTGGAAGGTTCTTGTCTATATGGGTTGAGTATAGAAATGATAAAGAATGAGAACAGCATGAGCAATAATTGATGTGCTGATTAAGACAGTAAAGAAAACTAGTCATAACAAAGTGGCTTCCAAAAACAAGCCAAAAGGAATTCAGGAAGGTCGGTGCGCCAAGAATGACGTAGATTATGAAAGGAGTGAGGAAAGCAACTGGTCTTTCGAAACACAGTGGTTTGAACGTTCTGCACATTCCATTGCGCCGGCTTTTTTGAACTACGAGTGCGAAGACGCACAGCATCTTATCCCGCGGCCCTTGGTTTGTTCACTGAGCTGGGCAGTGTGATTGATAATGTTTCATCGCCAATCAGGGTGACATCATCAGTGAGTTGTTATGGAGCTTAGCGGATAATGAAAACGGGTGATGGAAAAGATTATGTGCTAGAAGCGAAACAAATTTAAGGGGTCCAGAGAACCAAGGGAAGGTGTTACTGGCTCTGTAATTAAACTGTATCTGCAGAATTTTCTATAGTTTGGGTTAGTTTTCAGATTCTTAGTCTGGCGAGATCATCCACACGGAAAACGTGACCTCAGAGTTGAAAAGCAATATTCACTGCCGCACACGGTATACATCAGTGTGATTGGCACGTTTCATTAAATCATTGACATTTACTTTCAACATCGTAGCCCCAGGCTTTTTTCCAGTAAGACAAAAAAGTCCGTCGACGTAAACAGTGTGCGAACGTGTGTAATCCAAGCCCCAGCTAGCGCGACTGGCGTAGTCATACCTAACCGTCAGCTGTGTGCCAATCAGACGCTCTATGACCCTACTTCGGCACTGACGCTACGATGATGGGAAAGTTAAAGGTCAGGTTAAAAGATGGACAAAACAAAGCAGCCCGGCTGCAGTCTTAGCATATATAT